AACAGACGAGCAGCAGCAGCAGTGGCAATGCCAATGCCAAGCACAGCGGCGACTTTCATGCACAGAAGGATGCGGAGCGCAGCAAGGCGAGGGACAACCACGAGAAGGAGCGCGAGAAAGAGAAACCCAAAGAAGAAGCTCCGCCAAAGCGTCGCAAGTCGGTGGACATGAACGCCCTGGACTACGAACAGCAGACGGACAGCGAGCCGGAGCCGGAGACCAGCAAGCCCATCCAGAAGCACGACGATTCCAAGGCGGCGCCAGCAAAGGTCAATGAATCGCCAGCAGAGAATCGAAGCAAGCGCGACGAACGCAAACCCGAAGACAAACCTCGGGAGCGCGAGAGACCCAAGCGCAGTCGGGAACGCTCCAGTTCTCGCAATCGCCATAGGAGTCGCTCCCGTTCCGCTCAACGCAGACGATCGCCGCCACGTCGCCAGCAGCGCTCACCTCCTAGACGCCAAGGCAACAATTACAATAACAACAACAACAACAACAATAACCATAACAACAATATGGGTCAGTATCAGGCCAACCGCAACCGTCGCAATCCCTTTGCCGATCGAGAGCGCCGCCAACGGTCGCCAGACAATGAGTACCGCAACCGGTTCCCCCTCTCGCCCATACGCACGCGCAGCTCGCCTGTGGAACGGCGCCGTTCCAGAGAGCGCCAGCGTCGGTCACGCAGTCGTGGACGCAGGCAGGAATCGGACGAGCGCAGGCGGCAGGAGTCGCCCGCCCGAAAGCGGCAAGAGTCTCCCGAAAGGAAGCGCCAAGAGTCACCAGTGAGGAAGCGCCAAGAGTCGCAAGAACGCAAGCGACGAGACTCGCCCCCGGAACGTAGGCGTCGAGAGTCGCCGGGACGTAGGCGCCATGCATCACCGGAGCGCAGACGCAGCGGCAGCAGGGGACGGCGGGGACACAGTCGGTCACGCAGTAACAGTCGGCCACGGCGAAACCAACGTACGCCGGAGCGTCGTTCGCAGGACAGAAGTCCGGCCAAAGGATCGTCAGCCATGTCTGCTGCAGAATCCGAGGATAAGGATAAAGCCGCTCGCGAGAAAATGCAAAAACGCGTCGAGGCAGCGCTGCTGCTTAAGGAGCACATGCGCAAGGAGATCGCCAAGGAAGAGGAGCGACGAGCCGAGAAGCAGCGACAGGACGAGCTCGAAAAAGAGCGCACCACACGGGAGCTGAACGAGCTGGAGCGCCTGAAGGCAGAGACACTGAAGAAGCTGCAGGAGGAGGAGCGCGACCAGGACGAATCTTCGGCCAGTCGAGCCAGACGCGAAAGTAGTGACAGCAGCGACAACACCAAGAAGCGCAAGCATAAAAAGTCCAAGAAGCAGCCGACCCGCCCGCGACGATACGAGTCGGAGTAATTGGGTGAAACAATGGACGAATCTGACACCATATTCAAATCAATCGTTTGATTTACGTAGTCAAGCAATTAATTTAATATACATGAATGCAATTGTAAAAACAGTTCGTGAAATCTATGTAGTGTGACCGCCTAATAAAATCAAATAAATAATGGCAACTTCAGTAAAATAAGTCCAATTTGTTTAATTTTTTAATAATTTTGTTTTACTGGATTGAAAAGAGCGCTCAAGAATGCATGGCAAAAAGCTAACTGCTATGTTAGTAGTTTCAGTGCAGTTAAATTTCAACAAAGTGTTATCGTATATCGATAATTGCATTTGACCTGGAGGACATGAAATGATTGGCACTAAATATTTAGTAATTAATTAAAATCAAAATATTGAATAATTAAATATATATTAACATAATTGATTTAACAATCTTAGCTACGTAAATGGATTAAGTAGTTATTTATCATTTTATTAACAAGTAAATTGAAAGCCAACTCTTGAGTACCAACTGCAATTTGAAATTATAAACATAATTTAAGTTACAATGTTTACAAATATCCATATGTATTTTAGCGACAGGTCTGGCAACGTTTGCGGCATTAAAAGTTGTATCAGTTTATTTTCTGCGTCGTTTTTCTTCCGTTTCGCTTGTGACAAACTTTCATTCATGGAGACAAGCTTTTGACGCTGCCATTGAAATTTGTTTCTTCTTTTTGCAGCGCAAACAAAAACAAAAGTTGCCGTCAACGTCGGCGTAGACGCAGACGTCTACGTCGACGTCGCCGGCAAATGCAAGCTTACAAGTATGTGTGTGCGACGGCTCTCTGCGCGCGTATGTTTAGTGTGTGCGAATATGACAGCGGCAGCGCCAGTTCGGACTAGTGATGTAAATTTGAGTAAAAACATCGATGTCGATGCCCATAGATGTTTTCGTTGTCAAGCATCGATGTTTGGTTTATACATCGGGTCAAAACTTCGATGCATCGATGTATTTTCCCATTCTATTAAGAAACGTTTTTTTCGGGTTTTAAAGCTTCTTCATAGGTGCTTTCATAGCGTTATTATTTCACTTAAATTATTTTTAACTTAAAAATGAAAAACTTATAGCAATCTTTTCATATTCATGAGACTTATCTTATCTTAAAAATTATTAAACAACAAACAAAAAAAAAAAAAAAATAATACGTATGCTTTCATAGCAGTTAATTAAAAATTATTAAACAAACAAAAAAAAAAAAAAAAAACGTATGCTTTCATAGCAGTTTTTTTATCTTTCAATGTTACTTATAAACTACATATTAAAAAGAAACAATTAAAAAAAATATTTTTTGTCAATGCTTTGCAGTAACAAAATACGACTTAGTCGCTCAGGTGTCATTCTGTTTCTTTTACGGCACAAAATATTTGAAGCCGCTGAGAAAACCCGTTCAGAGGGAACGGATGATCCCATCACCGGCAAAAATTGCATAGCAATTTTGTACAAATTCGGATATGTACATTTCATGCTTTCCCAAACAGTTATTGGATTACTTTCGAAGGAAGTAAGCGGTATTCGTAGATAAGAGCTTATTTCTACGTCCATATCCACATTCGGGTTGTGACACTGCGCGAGCTGGTGATGGTGGTTCCAAAAAGAATCCGAGTTCCCTGTTGTCGGTGGTATGACCTCTTTGCTTTCATTTTCTTTAAACATAGATTTAATTTTCATCAGTGCATTGGCACATGCAACTGGATCTTTAAAATGTAATTTTTTAAATCTAGTATCAAGCAACGTGGCCATTGCTAGAATCGATACCTAAAACAGTACATTACAAATATATATTTAACGAAACTACCAATTAAGAGTATTTGAAATATACCTGCTCAATCGATCCCATTCGCCTTTCTATTTCGAGAAGCAGGAACTCCTTCATATCCTTCGCTTCTTGTGTGTTGTCACTTAATTTTTCTAATTTGTCTTTGATGATGCTGACAATGGGTATGACCGTACTGGCCGTACAATATTTGTCTCCGCTGACAATTTTCGTTGCTTCCTCAAGGGGGCGTAGCATTGTAAGCACATTGTTTAACAGCTCAAATTCCTTTCCGGTAAGCAACATTTGGTCATTTGGAATACTCAGTAAAATGTCGTTCACTTGCGTTTTGACCTCCAAAAAGCGCTCTATCATATAATATGTACTGTTCCATCTCGTTGGAACATCCTGAATAAGTACTTTATCTGTTGCTTTCCTTAAATGGTCGCTGGCCACACCACTATGGTTAAAAAAAAGCAACGATTGATTTAGTTTTGGCAATACATCCATTTACGGATTCCCTTTGGATGGCCGAGCGAGCAATAAGATTAATCGTGTGCGCAAAGCAGGGCAGGTGAATTTTGGGCCCAAACGTTATCTCAGCAGCTTTTTTAATATTTGTACCATTGTCTGTGACAATAGCTGTTACTTGCTTTTTGTCAATGTTCCAATCTGAGCAACAGATTTCCAGCATTTCGCTCAGATATGGTCCTGTGTGACGCTCGCTTAACTGCATAGCTCCAATTGTCAATGAAGACATTTCCTGCTCCAAGAGAAAATGAGCAGTGATCCCTAAATAGCTGCGCATTGACATTTGGTCACTCCATATGTCCATTGTTAAGGATATGCTCTTTCCAGTCAGCCTTGTTCTCCACAGATCTTTCATTTGACTGTACTTCTCATCGAGCCATTTGGTTACTTTATAACGCGAAGGAATTTCATAACGAGGTGCGACAGTATTCATCAAATAAATGAATCCAGCATTTTCAACAATTGAAAACGGCTGAATGTCCTTTGCGATCATGTAAACAATTGCATCATTTATTTTTTTTGTTTTTTGTCCTTCTCCTCCAAAATCCGTGATATTTTGGAAGCTTGCAGCTATTGAAGCTTGTCGTGGCGTCCCACTGTTAGACACAGGTGTCTGGTCTTCTTCCCTTATTTTATGCACATTGCGTAGATGATCTTTCATATTCGTAGTGTTCCCTGCAGTTTTGATTGTTTTGCCGCAAATATTACATTTCGCACTATTGCCATCAATTTTGGCGAAATGCTTCCAGCAAAAACTCGTCTTTGTTGTTATTCTAAAACAATTGATTTTGTCGTATAAATATATGTACATATGTACATACATAAATAAATACATATAAGTAATGTTACTATATTTACTTACTTCGGCATTGCAATATTTGCTGCTTAAGTTTGTATAACTGCACTTTCAGGCAACACACGACAATATACGCAAAATATGTATAAAATCAAACCAGCGACGTTTTGGAAAACATCGATGCATCGCTTAAAAACATCGGTGCATCGCTTAACATCGGTATCAATAAAAACATCGGAAAACATCGGTAAACATCGCCAAAAAAACATCGATTGTCGATGCATCGATGTTTTTTCACATCACTAGTTCGGACCAAAGCTCCCAGTACACGAATGGCGTACAAACTGTTTGGACGTGTTTGCTGCTCGCTGGCGACGTCGCGAGTTCGAGTTCGAGCATTTTAATTGTTAGTGCAGAGCGTTGTAAATATTGAAGCGCCGCTTCGATTGGCGTTGACGAATATTTGTATCTGTGTGTATGTGTATATATATTTTATTGTTAATAAACCCGCAATCTGTCATAAAGCAACAAACACAAAATGCAAAAAATAACAACTGCAAATACAAATAATGCCGAAAGCGACAGTGAAAATAATCGTAATTTGTTGATTTAAGCGGCGGCAGCGGTCGTTGCTAATGTCGCTGAATGTTCAAGCGTGCGTCAGAGTTTTGTATGTGTGTATTTGTGTATGTATGTGCAAAAATTACAAATAAGCAAGAATTGATAGGCTGAGCCTGCGAAATACAAACATAAAGCGCAAATGCAAAAAACACAACAAAGGTAGTAACAAAGCGAAGCTATGGCGTCAGTTGTACGCGGGGGCGCAGGCACCGGCGATGGCGGCAACAAAAGCCGGTGCAGTGCGTACACACACACGCACGCATGCAGGGAGTGAGAGAGAGAGAGAGAGAGTCAGGGAGAGTGAGAGCGAAATATAGTGAATGTGAGAGAAATGATGGAGACACATGGGCCATGTTTTTATGCTGCGAATCAAATGAAATGCGATTAATTATTAGCTGCTACTGCCGTAAATTCCAGCATTGTTAAATTTTGTGTCCTGTTGCAAATAAATTATGACATAATAAGCCATCATAACAATCAAATCGACTGCGTGCCGACGGCGCTGTTGCTGCGACAATATGACAATGTGTGCGTGCGCGAGGGGGAAAGCAAATAAATATAAATATTGAAATGAATATTTTAAAATGCGAAATTCCACACAAACAAACGGCGATAAACGCAAAAGGCAAAGATGCCAAACAAAAAAGGATGTAAAACGCAATAAAGCACACGACTGAGAGCCGCTGCTTCTGCTGCTGCTGTTGCGACGGCTGCTGCGGCGGCTGCGAAAACCGCCAAGTACAGTAGTAATTCTTCGGCCAGGCCACAAAGGCAGCGGCAGTCGAACAAAAAAGCACACGCACGCACACAGTGACAAACGGGGCAATAACAAAAACAACACAACAACAACACCAAGAACAGCAACAGCCACACAAGGCCATGAAAGCAACAGCGGCGGTTGTAGTAGGCAGGCAAAGGCAAAGCCAAAGCCAAAGCTAAAGCTCGGCGCACAAACACAAAGCGAAAGCGTAGCAAAAACAAGGAGCAAAACAGCAGCGACGTTGCACAGTGTAACAAATGGATTAAAAAGAAATAGAACCGATTGCAATACAGGTTCAGACTACACAAAATACATTCACATATATATTTATATGACAGCATCCAATTAGTTTACAGATAGAAATGATGTTTAAATTATATGCGACAAATGTAACGCAACTATCTGATAGTAAATTATTATAATATATTTTTATTATTATAATACAAATGGATCGCCGAAGAACGATTATAATATCTTTTAATGCGTTAATGCATTATTCAAATATTTTCTTACATATTTTGTTTTGGCAGTCTGTAGTAATGTCTTATCTCACACTCATTCGTATAATTAGCACTTAAAGAGTGCAATATGCACTCGCTACGCTGTAGTTCACCATAATAGGAACTTAATGGCCAACTAATTTGTTTCGCCATTTTCGGAGCATGTAAATCACTGTGCGAAGTCGGCGTTGGCGTTAGCATCGGCAGAGGACCAGAGACCAAGTGAGAGTGGGCTGCTGTTGCTTATGCGAATATGGATGCTCAGAAAAAGCTTAGTAAGCTGCGCTGCCGCTGTCGCTGCCGGTGCGTTGCTGCCGCTGTTGTCGTTTTGCAAACAAATGTACAAAATGTATATGACGCTTAACGTTCGTGATAATGAAGTATTTGAGTGACGATGATGAAGATATAAGAACACGAAGAATAAGCATAATAGAAGGCACAACAAGGTAGAATTTTGAGGAAATCGAAATTTGCGTCGTCGTTCAATTTCGACCGGCATCCGCAGCACAAAACAAACTTTTGCCCATGTGTGAGTGTGTGTCTGGCTTTGTGCGTGTGTGTGCGAGGGCTTGTATGTTTGTGTGTGTGTGTGTGTGTGTGTGTGTGTATTTCGCATAGTCAAATTTGTTTTATATAATTCTCAACTACCCCGATATGATTTCCGTTGCGCTTCTTCCTTATCTCTCAATTTAGCGTGGCAATTTTTTGTTGTTTGCAGTTTCTGGCAGCAGCAAAAACCATGGCGAAAATCGTTGTTTGCTTATTGTTAAAAACTTTTTCAAACACATAAATGCGTTGGCCATGGCAATAAATACAAGTTTTAAACAAAGAACAAACTTTACGCAATAAAAACCAATATTACGTTTTTACCACGAAATCCCAAAAATAAATAAATAAAGGATCATTTGAATGCGTGGCTCTGCACTTTTGTCTTGATTTATAAAATATATTATTTTGTACAGAGTAAAAAAGTTAAACAAAAGAGTACAAAATACCGTTGCAATAGCAAATATTGCACGCACACACACACAAACACACACATATGGCTGCCAGTGGCTGCTGCGTCAGCGTCGCTGTCTCAGTTGCGGTCGCTGCCAACGTCGCCATCTGCTTTATTTGTACTTTTTTCTCTCTCGGTCGCTCCTCTCACACTCGCGCTCACTATGTGTGCAAAGCCTTTGATAGTAGCTGAAGCTACAACAACAACAATGGCGCTGTCAGCACTGCCGAAATATATTTTAGCATTCATTTATGCGACGTTTTCTTCATACTTTATTTTTGTATATATATAATTTTTTTTGCCGCGCGAATTCGTGCACTCTAGCTAGAAATCTTTCTTACATACATACATACATATGTATCTATATCTGTTCACGCGCATTTCGGGTACTTGTTGTCTTAAGAATTGCTGCTGAAATTGAAATACATGCGTATAGTATACCCCATCTGTTATGGCATCATCAGACGACGCCGCAGAGCCATTATGATGATGACAATGAAGCGCCAGGAGCGGATGAACTACAAGCAAAGATTTTTTGTATTAGAGTCGCGTTAGTGTAGTGAATGAACCATCATCATAATAATGGCCATGAAATATTGGTCAGTAAGGATAATGCGACAGTATTTTTTGGCTTAATATGCGAATTAGGGCAGCATTAGCATCTATATATGCCGCAGTGCGTTATAGCTCTATTCATTGAATTCCAAAAACCATATGTGCAAATATGCTAAAAATAAATAAAAAAAAATATATTTTTTTATGTATTTTTATACAAAAATAATAATAATAGATACAAAATTAATTTTTATAAATAAATAAATAATAGATATAATAATATTTTTATTTGTTTATTTTTATAATAGATTATTTTAAGATTTTATTTCAAAATTTGTTTTGTTAATCGATTCGTAATTTTTTCATAACATTATATTTGTAGTATTTATTTGATAATACTTATAATAGAAAGAGGAGTTTTATTTCCCAAAAGTAGGTTCTTGGAATCAATATATAATACGTGTTACAAGTAATCTCTTTAAGGGCCCTTTATTTCATGTTAAAAATTATAGATAGATATTTTAGAAACAATACATATATTATTAGAAATCTGTTATAAGGTCTTTTCTTGGTATACCATCAGATGTTCTAGACAATAGTTTCAGACTGATTTTTACAAATGCTTGGGATCAATTTGTTAGATTACAGCAAATCTATTTCAAGGTCTATTATTCCATGGATAGGCTCATAATTTATAACAAATAGTAGATACAGTTTTTCAACTGACGCCCATTTATCTCCGTGAAGAACTTTGGCTGGCCAGCACTCAAGCTGCGATAAAGTAGAGTCCATGGCCATCAATTTCGGAATACCCGACGTTGAGGACAAATGACATTTTGATGTTGGCGCCGTTAGCGGCGCCAGTGTTTTGCGGCCTATTACGCAAATTGCGCATACGCACTGTTGCACACGTAAAATATTTATGCATTTTGCAATATTTATTTAAGCGTAGCTAAAATATATTAGCATACTTTTGTGTGCGTGCCATCTAGCAGAGCTCATCGCCATTGTGTGCGTGTGTGTGTGTGTGTGTGTATTTGTGTTTGTGAGAGATTTAAGAGATTCGATTTCGTTTGACTTTTAGATTGAGAAGGCAAAGCTGAGTACATAAACAATGTAAATGCGTGTGTGTGTGTCACGTGTAATGCACAAAATGCAAGCAACAATAAGAAGATGCACTTAAGAGAAACATTGGAAAATAACGAAGCTATCGAAGACAACGAGCAGAGAGTCGGATCGTTCGTTATAATAATCACGCCGAAAACGAGATAAAAACGATTGCGGTTAGCTGCCCGAAACTGGAACAACCACCGGAAATTAACGCCAGATTGCAATGTTTTTGTTTTACAATCGACGCATTTTTGTCATTATATTAATTGAATTTCTGCTGCTGCTGCTGAGCGATGACAATGGACAACCAACGCTGACCAAGTTGCCGACAACAGGTGAGTTACTCCGACAGTCTATGAAAGTCCCTTTGCCAAACTGCAATAATCATAAACTAATGGCCAAACGTGCGGGCGTGTCCTTAGCCAGACGCCCAAGAACTTGTTGAGTTACAAGAGTCCTTAAAGAGTTTGAGGATTAGATCGGGGGGAATGTAGGGAGCAGGGTGTACAGAAAGGTCTTTCCGCCACAGGCCCCATGCCATAATGAAAATCGGGAGTATAAAATATTAAAGTTGGCAAAACACGCGAGAAAACTTTTTGGCCACATCCACCCTTGGCTCGATGCTGCCTTTTGGGGGTTGATTCGTTCCGCTGCGCTCTTTGACTTTCGAATATAGCCCTTTCGCATGTGTGTGTGCCATTGCGAGCTTATTGCGTCGTTGATTTGGCTAAGCAGAAATTATAATTCTAATTTATGGTAAGTGAACAAGTTGGTAAGCAGCGCGCCTCCAACGACATTTCCAACTTATCGCAGCCTGTCCGATTCTCACGACCCATTTTTAGAGAAATGTCTCAGAGTGCTGTATTTGCTTTGAAGCTCTAGCCGTTATCAAATGGCATACTGGCTACATGGCTAAAAGCATTTAACAATCAATCAATGCAAACAATTTCACATAATTTCCCTTTTCATGTCGCACACACACACACACATGTGTGTGTACACACATACTTGCAAATATCCAGAGCTATTTGGTTAAGTCGAGCGAGGGCATGGGCTAGTTCATAAAACTCCAATGCAAAAAGTTTTGCACACATGATAGAGCAGCAATTGCTGCGCTTGGGGCTGGAGCTAGCGCTGTGGCCGGGGCGGGGCTGTGGCTGGGGCAGTGTGGCAAAAGTCCAAGTCTAAGTCAAACGACTAAGCGGCATGTCGTCAATAAATTTTCCATTAAATTCAAAGCAACCCAAAAAAGTAGAAAAAAAGATGAAGAGGGGAAATGGCAAGAAAAACAAGCGCCCATAAAGGAAGGTAGCGTCGAGTACACTACATAACTTTTGCCTCTTCTCTACAGGCACACTAACTCACACACACACACTCACACACACACACTCGCACACACACACTCGCACACTCACAGAGAGGCACACGTACGCCTGGCTGGGTGTGTGGGTGTGCGTTGTTGTGTTGCTTCCTGTCTGTCCTGGGAGGCCGCTTATTCAATTTAGCACTGGCGTGTGGCGCCATCTAGCGCCGCGAGTGAAAGGCAGCCAGGGAGCAGAGCAACAGCACAAAACAACACTCTAGAATTTTATACCCTGTAAAATGGCATAGAACTGCATTTATGACAAATTTAGAAAAATATTTAAGATCTATTTATGTTTAACCTTTACGCTTAGGTTATTGCTTGATAACTAATTGATAGATATTGAGCTTTATAAATGTACAATATAAAACTGTGTATATATGTTAAGCTGAATTAAGCCATAAATGTTATGACAAAGAATTTGGCCTATTGTTCATGGAAATCAAAGAGCCGTAACTTTGTAACTAAAAAAAAAATGGCACAAATATGCATTTAGATTTGACTTATTTACCATAGGCCACTCTTAGTTATTTTGAAGTCTGGGCAGTATTAAATTACTTGTCTGAAAGCCCATTTTTAAAGAAATATAAATTTGATGTAATTAATAAAATTGATATAATTAATAAACCCTACGGTTTTTTGGTATATCCATCATATATGTAATATATTTATAGCTTGTGATATACAAATTCGAATATAAGCAATAACATAAAACTCAGTTCTTTGAGATCCTCAGAGGATAAACTATATATATAGATATAGATATAAACTGATAAACAGTAGTGTTTTGAATCTTAGAACGATCAAAGGTCTTGCCAATTAATATTAGTAACGATAGACTTTATTCTATTCAAATTTAGTATCTTACGAGGGGATTCGTTAGCCAAAGGGATTTATTCGATGAACAAATACTGGGACAGTCATTGATTGAAACCGATATAATTTGGTTTAATTGTGTAAAAATTATAAATACAAACTAGGTTAAAATTACCCATTTGGAATATTATATCCCAAATATTCTATGGACATTATTTAGGGAGTATCTCTTTGTCATGCAGTCATTGCTAACACACGCTTATTTACAGTGTTTTTCTTTGTTTTTTTTACCGGCGGCAAATAACTACAACATAAGCTATTGGTACAGCAGCTCTCACATCATGAATCTTGGCTGCTGCTGTTGTTGCTGGTTTATTCATATATGGCAAACAACATATCATGTGCTGCTGCTGCTGTTGTTGTTGTTGCTATTGTTGTTGCAGGCTGCGTGCCGCATAGCAACCCACAAGCTGCCTCTGAGCCCTCCATATTCATATGCAAATTGCGTTGGAGGACCTTTTGGGCTCAGCTGTGTTGCTTTTGTTGTTAATGGTTTGTTTTTGCTTTATTTTTGGGTAAGCAGAATTATTATTGTTATTATTGTTGTTGCTGTTGTTGTTGGTGGTATTGTTGGTGTTGTTGTTGTTGCTTGTGGTTATTGTTGCTGTTGCGTTGGTGGCGCCCCGCGTTTGATTTCAATATTCAAGTGCTTCCTGTTTTTTGCATTTGTTGCTGTATTTGCTGGCTGCCTGACTGCCGCCTACCTCCCTCCCTCCCTGCCTGCCTGCCTGCCTGCCTGCCGCTTTTTTACATCTCAAGCAGCATTACTTGGCTGCCACAACAGCAACAGCAACAACAACTAGAACAACAACTAGAACATTGGGATAAGCAGCAACAACAAACAGTTGAAATAACAAGTTGAGTGCCCTCAGCTCCTCCATCTCGCCCATCTTGTTGCTCCACCTACTCCCACTCCTCGTCTAGCTGCTGCTGCTGCTGCTGCTGGCACTAACTACACAAATAGCAAATCGGTTCTGCTCTTGCCACAAATGCGCCGGCATTTGGTGCTGCTCTTGACTGCTCGAGTGTGCCTATGACGACCTTATGCTGCTCTGCTGTTGCTCTGCTGCTGTTGCTGCCTCCTTGAAGAGCCAAAGGCGCCAGACCACCAAGTGGTTCGCTGGGTTATGTGAGGTATTGGCGTTTTGGGTCTTGGGATCGTTCTGCTGGCAACGTTGCCTCGTGGCGCCGTTGCGGTTTTTAAGCCTCGCCTGAGGTTCAACGCTTTTTAAGCCGTGCGATATAAAAGACAGCAGCACCCTCTCCGCTGGTAGATCTCTGTATTTAAGTATATATTTACTCTGATTAAAGTGGTCCTACTAACGTGTACATGCATGTGCCGAATAGTCGGTTGCAACGCATTATTGCTGGCAATTTTTTCGCTTTATTGCCACTTCTCAGAATTCTTGACAGCTTTAAACTGATTGCTCGCTGCTGGTAGCCAAGGCAACATCCTGTGAGCTCAATCGCAGCTTAAATTTTGAAAAGGACACAATGACTGTACATATATATGTATAAAAAAAAAAAATATATATATATATATAAGTGCCGGTGCGTTTGTATATTTGTGTGTGCTCTCAGTTTGGGATTCCAGGAAATCAGTTAAGTACGGCATGGAGCTACACCCGGGGCATTTGCCACCCAGCTAAAAGCAGCAATGATTACATTTGGCATCATTTCGACACTGCCCTCAGTAAAAATGCGGCATGGAAAATCATAATTTTTAATGCGAACAGCATGTCGACTGGCTGCTGGCTGCTGGCTACTGGTGGGCTGGCTGGGGCGCAACGTCCATTTGCAGCAGCATATTTTTACGTGTGCTCGAAGCACGACCGGACTCACCCTCTAAAAATGATGCTGCAAAGCTGCTCTTATCTGACGCGTGCGGGTGTGAATAAAAAACAAATTCTATTAGTTCAATTAGACAGCAACGTAGGTCCGCCTCTCTCCCTCTCTCTCTGTGTCTCTGTCTCTCTCCAGCTGACAGCCTGTGTAAACGTAAACTTTATGGCTGTCACAGCGTGTTTTAAAGCTGGCAACTGTCGCTTTCCCAGGCAGCTTTTAGACGTTTTTCCAACTTGTTCAAATTTCCCAGAACTGGCGCGAATGGCCAGGTCAGAATTTCTTTAGATGCTCAAACATTATCAATTACTTGGAAAGTAATCAAATGATTTTCAATACCAATGCTAATAACATTGATGTAAATTACAAGTACAATATTTTTATTTTTATTTCTATTTTTGTATTTCTTAAACATATTCAATTAAATTGATGAAGGTAATATTCATATGTAAGCATATCAATGCTCAAAATGATTCAGTTCCTGTCAATTTAAAAACCATATTTCACTAATATATTCATAATGTTATCCAAACAGTATGTTTAATGATATGCGCGAGAGAATATATTGATTGCTGTAGCAGAATTCAGACAATAATTATTCAGAATTTTAGAGCTGACTAACAATGTAGGACAATTACTGAAAATAAATGGAAAATTTATTATATATACATATATTCAAAATTAGAATATGTGTAAATTGGTCTTATACTTGTACTTGTACTTAAATATACTTTAATTATATATACATATAACAAAGGGAGTTATTTTGTATTAATATTATATCAATAATTGAGGACATATTTTATATTTTTATTTTATATATTTTCTGTTTCATCCGAGTCTAGCGCAATTCTAAAAACTACCTGCCCCCATAAATTCATATATTTAGTTATATATAAATACCATTTCTATACATTCTTTATATTCCATCAAAATTTGGGACAAGTAGGTTGTTTAAATGCGTATACATATATACTTGGTCTGCCTTATAAGACCATTAGGTGCTCAGTGGTTGTGAAGCGTCATCTGCAAATCGTCGCCGTCGACTCCATGGAAAGTTTGGTTCTTTCCCTTGGCGGGTAGGCAAAGTGGCAACAAGAAAAGTACCACATATAATGTTGAAAAAAAAAAAAATCCCCTTAGTCAGCATAATGTTTGCATTTAATTGTATATTTCTTTTTATTGCCGTCTACGGCAAAATGTAGGTACAGAACATAAATATGAAAATAATAAAAAAAAATAAATATGGAAGCA